TTTTTTGAGATAGGGTCTCACTCTATCTCCCAGGCTGGAGTACAGTGGCATGATCATGGCCCACTGCAGCCTTCACCTCTAGGGCTCAAGCGATCCTCCCACCTCAGACTGCTGAGTAGCTGGGACTACAGGCATGCACTACCATGCTTGGCTAATTATTATTATTATTATTATTATTATTATTATTGAGACAGTCTCACTCTGTCGCCCAGGCTGGAGTGCAGTGGTGTGATCTCGGCTTACTGCAAGCTCCGCCTCCCAGGTTCACACCATTCTCCTGCCCCAGTCTCCCGAGTAGCTGGGACTACAGGTGCCAGCCACCATGCCTGGCTATTTTTTGTATTTTTAGTAGAGATGGGGTTTCACCATGTTAGCCAGTATGGTCTCGATCTCCTGACCTCATGATCCGCCTGCCTCGGCCTCCCAAAGTGCTGGGATTACAGGCATGAGCCACCACGCCCGCTTAGCTAATTAAAAAAAAAATTTTTATAGAGATGGGGAGTCTCCCTCTATGGCCCAGGCTGTTCATAAACTCCTGGGCTCAAGCAATCCTCCGGCCACAGCCTCCCAGTGTTGGGATTAGAGGTGTGAGCCACTGCAGTCAGCCGAGTTGCGTAATTCTTTATGGTGGGGGTGTCTGTGCATCGTAGGATGTTTAGCAGTATCCCTGGCTTCTACTCACTAGATGCCAGTAGCATCTGCCTTGTCCCCCAGGTTGGGACAAGCAAAAATATCTCTAGATATTGCCAAATTTCCCTTGGGGAGCAACATCTCCCCTGGCATAGATCCAGGCCCCCCCCACCTTTAACCAATAGATAGTGGTGGTGATAATTATTGGTATTACGACCACAGCCAAAGGCTTGCTCTTTCCCTTGTATTAAGTAACAAAGTCTAGTGTGTGTGTCCACCCCTTGCTCACTCCTGTTCTCACAGGCACACCCTCTGTGTTTCAGTCGAATCTGGTGTGTTTCTCTACCAATTCAGAAGTGCCAAACAGGACCTATATTCAAAGGCTCTGAAAGACAGGCACAGGTCAGGGCAGTGAGGGGGACTCCTCAGCGGACCCACTGTGGGCCAACTTGGTTTCCGGGAGTGGCAGTGCCACCACATCCTGTGTCCTGCTCCTTGTCCCTCGAGGCCTCCCCCTCAATCCCTCATGGATATCCAACCACCCATCTGCATTTTAGGCTTTGAAGAAATGAGAAGTTTCTCCCCCTCTTCTAAAATAGTAGAGAATGAGTGAACAGGGTAATAGGGCAGGAAGGCGTTATTCGTCTAATGTGGTCCCTCCAGAGCAGAATTCTCTAGCAGGGGGACTGTAGGGGATTTGTATCAATGCCACGCAAAACTGCACAGGAATAAAGCCAGAGGGCAGGCGGAAAACAGAGCTTTGAATGACCATTCCAGCAGGTAATGAGGGGGAGGAGCATAGACTTGTCTGTGTCTCCTGTTTCTGGTAGAAAGGGTCCAAAGCAGCAGTCCCCAACCATTTTGGCACCAGGGACCAGTTTCGTGGAAGAAAATATTTCCACAGACTGGGACACGGGTGGGGTAGTGGTGGTGGGGAGTGGAGAGGGATGGTTTCAGGATGAAACTGTTCCACCTCAGGGCTGGGCACGGTGGCTCATGTCTATAATCCCAGCACTTTGGGAGGCGGAGGCAGGTGGATCACTCGAGGTCAGGAGTTCAAAACCAGCCTGACCAACATGGTGAGACCCCATCTCTACTAAATATACAAAATTAGTTGGGCGTGGTGATGCATGCCTGTAATTGCAACTACTTAGGAGGCTGAGGCAGGAGAATCGCTTGAACCTGGGAGGCAGAGGTTGCAGTGAGCCGAGATTGCACCATTGCACTCCAGCCTGGGCAACAGGAGTGAGACTCCGTCTCAAAAAACAAAAGAAAGAAACTGTTCCACCTCAGATCATCAGGCATTAGTTAGATTCTCATAAGCAGGACGCAACCTAGATCCCTCGCAAGTGCAGTTCACAATAGGCTTCACTCTTCTGAGAATCTAAGGCCACCACTGATCAGACAGGAGGCGGAGCTCAGGGGGTCTCAGCTTGCCCACTGCTCACCTCCTGCTCTGCGGTCCTGTACCGGTTCATGACCTGGGGCTTGGTGACCCCTGGTCCAAAGTATTCCTCAGATGCTCAAAGGAATGTCATCCCCCAAAGGCAGAGTTTATAGTTTGAAATTTCTTCTAACACCTGAAGGCCTTTTCAGTCTGTCTTTTGTCTCTTGATTCAATTTTGGGCACAGCAACCCCAGGTGTGCTGACATTGTCTCCCCCAGATCCTTGAAATCAGAATCAAATGGGAATTTCACTCAGGGAGAAAATGATGCAACACACATATATATATACACGTGTGTGTGTGTGTGTGTGTGTATATATATGTATGTATATGTGTGTATGTGTGTGTATATATATGTATGTATATGTGTGTGTGTGTTTGTGTGGGTGTATGTGTGTATATATATATATAGACTCTATCACCTGGGCTGGACTGCAGTGGCATCATCACGGCTCACTGCAGCCTCAACCTCCCGAGCTCAGGTGATCTTCCTGCCTCAGTCTCCCAAGTAGTTAGCTGGGGCTACAGGCACGAACCACTATACCCAGCTAATTTTTTTGTATTTTTAGTAGAGATGGGGTTTCATCATGTTGCCCAGGCTGATCTTGAATTCCTGGGCTCAAGCCATCCACCCACCTCAGCCTCCCAAATGTTGGGATTACAGATGTGAGCCCTTGTGCCAGGCTAATTTGTATGTTTGATGTCTCCTCCATCCTAGAAGATTCTGTCAATCTACATGAGAGATGCTGACAAAGGCCACAGGAAGTGTTTCTCACCTCCTCTGGACGGCTGATTTCGATTCCTTCTGGACCTGTGATCCCCAAATCTAGTGCCTCCTTAGCACCCTGGATAACAGCAAGAGAAAGAAAATGGAAAGAATCACAGAGATACTGTGTAAGAAAATACTGAACCCAAGGGACAGTGAAATATGCTAGACACAGCCTGTTTCAATAGGCTTGCTTCTTTTCTCACTTCTGCAATATTCGTCTTCTAAAGAAGGCAGAGCATGCACAGGCCCCCCATGCAGTGGGGCTCTCCTGATTCTCACTTCATAATGACTGAACATATCTTGTTCTCTTAAAAATACAGTTAGCTATTATAACTAGCAACAGGCCTGGGACACCAAAGACAAGCACTCTTTACTGATTTCAAACTCAGAATTCCCTCTCTGGAAATTGAGACAAATCTCTAGCTTCCAGCAACTCCTAGGCTAGCCCTTACCCCAAGACCTAGGAGAATGCACCAGAGGCTTATCCTTCCTGGTGCCATGAATTGATCTCTTTAATGTCTCAGATCCTCTGAAGAGGCCAAATGGAAAGCGGATTCTTATTTATTCTGTATATCAAATCTCATTAAAAATATGTCTGAGAGGTGCTCCAAATTCTCTGCTATAATGGAATGTAAATCTCATATCATTAGAATTAAGACATCATCACCTAAGACTTAGAAGCCTTTTTGAACCATAAAAAGAGATTTGTTTTTTACAGATAGTAGCAAAGTTTGGGATTTTCTGAGCAAGATCTGACAGCTGGGGTGTCCACACCTCACACTTTAACAACTGATTTTGTCTGAATCCTGTGGGATCAGTGACGGGTGGTCAGGAACCCCCTGAGAACTGTCTCCACTGGTGTCCCTCCATCCAACATTCTTGGCTGCAGACTTGCCTCGGCCACAAGCTCCCCATTTTCAGCATGGACGCGGGCGATTGCCCCAATGTCCTTGCAAGCGTGCAACACTTGGTACAGCTCGCTGTCTCGAAGCATGTACAGGTCCTTGTAGGTCATGAACATCTGGAATGAGTTGACACCCTTCTCCCTCACCAGTGTCTCCATTTCTGCTTTCACCTGGAGAACAAGTGCAAAGGCAATGCTGTGTGAGGGCAGACACCCAAGAGGCCGACTGGCAGGCACCGGCCCAGCATGGGGGAGATGCGGGGCCTGCCTCAGCTCAGTCTGTCTGTTGACCCCCGCACACCTCTCTGTCTTACTTTCCTCCCACCCCACAGGCTGCTGTGAGGTCACCTGAGCAGATGGATGCAGAAGTACTGTGAAAATTGTCAACATGACACAATTTAGGAGCCACATTGTTACTACCTTATGGGCACGTTTCTCCGATCACTTAGGCCTGTCCCCTATGTCTGTCTCCAAACCAGCCTTAATGGTAAACATAGGAATAATAATTTTAATTTCTGTGGGCTGTTCCCTGGTGTTACAAAGAAGGCACACTAATGCTAAAAATCCAGAGGCCCTGGGAAAACTGAATTTAGGAACCAAGCCAAACGTGAACAAAGTGATGAGAGTTAGGATATTCCTAACAACATTATTTGTACTAGGAAAAACATGGAAGCAACCTTGGCCTGATAACAGGAAAATAAGTTCAGGTTCATCCATTTGGTAGAATATTAGGTGGCCATTATATTGCTGGTCATGAACTTTGCAGCAAAATAGAAAATGCTCACACCTATGCAAAATAGCTACTCTGTGAAAGCATGGATGAAAAAAGACGGGAAAGAAAGAAGTTTAACAACAGGGATTGTGTTGGGGGTTATTGGATTATGTGCTTCCTTTCTTTTCTATTTTTAACATCTATAATTATAAACATTTATTTGATTATTATAAAACAGAATTTTAAATTCCTGCTGCATGAAAGTCACCATAAGCTCTTGGAAATTAGGGAGGGTTGGCCTGGCTTCTGTGCTGCGGGGAACCTGAGCAGACCCTCTATTCCAGGCCAGCTCCAGGGGAAGTAGAGAGTGGCTTGGAGGTACAGGCCCCTCACCCAGGAGGGTGTCCAAAAAGGAGACCCCTGTTTGAGATAAGGAATGGCTGACATCCAGCGTGATCTGCACCTCTGGCCCAGAACCAAGAGGAGGTCTTCTATAAGTGCCAGGTCAGAAATAATGAAGAAACCGGGTGAGCCCCCAACTCAAGGCTAAGACCCAAGGGCAGGAATATACTGAGGCTTTAGATTATCATCTCAGAAGGGTGTTAGGCCCTTTATACCAGGGCCTACACCTGAAGAACTTTGTAAAACTTCGTCTTCTTTTTTTTTTTTTTATGATTAAGAACAGAGTTTATTCGAGCTGAAAGCTTGAGGATGGCTGCCTGGGAGCACAGATTCAAGCTGCCCTGAATATACACTCTGATTAGCAGCAGTTACAAGTGGGGTTTTAACGGAAAATGAAGAGGCAGTTCCTAAGTTGGTAAAACTAATAATGCTTATTATTTTTATGATTCTGCGGCACCCACCAAAGTACTGGTACATGGGGCTTAATAAATAATTGATGAAAGAATGACTATCCAGACTGCTACCCTGGACAAATAAGCAGAAAAACCCTGGAAACAAAGCCAAATCCAAATGCCTGTAGATCAGGAAGAGCAAGAAAGTGGGAATCGGGGAGAGGACACTGGACTCTGACACTGGGGCCTGGGCAGGGGGAGGACAGGAAAGCCAGAGGCCAGGGGCACAGACACAAAGGAGGCACAGAGGCTGAAGTGAAAAAGGTTCAGGGGGTGCCAGCCTCAGTCACAGACCAGGACAGCCTCGATGCTTCTCGGAACAGGAGCTGGGCCCCCAGTAGGAAAAAAGCGTACCACTGTCCATTCATTCCAGGCAGTGCTGAGGCAGGACGGGAGCCTCGGTTCGGAGACCTCAGCGCAGTGCAGAGGACTGTCAGTACACACGGGATATGGCATATGACCCTCTGCACCTGAGGCCTGCTCAGGCCACTGCTCAGCAGCACCGCCCATGACCTGTCGGTGGCGCCCCACGTTCACACGAGACAATAGGAGCCTCATGGTTAGATCAAGGAAATTGCGTCCCCAAGGCCTGGGCTCTGGCCTTGGCCTGTCTGTGCCTGCTGGAAAACAGCTCATTAAGTTAAGCAGGACAGGCCCACCCGCTCGCCTTATGGAATCCCAAGTGTGTTTTCTTTTGGCATTGTGGGGAGCTAGGATGGTAGTGGGAGGGGTGCCCCACATAAACAGGAGGCACTGCATCCCAACCCGCCCCGCTGCCTACAAGACCACTCGTGCCTTCTTCTGGGATCCCACCAGCACTGTTACCTTGGGTGCCCACCAGGTGATCCCCACGTGGAGGGCGTAGTCACAGCAGACCTTGGGGTCGGCCAGACCCCGGCATTTCTCATAAGCGTCCACGAGGGAGGTCTCCTTGTCGGGCAGGACGTGGCCAATGATCATAGTGGTGCCTCCGACGAGCGCTGCCTAGGAAGATGGGAAAAGGCAGTCTTGTCACAGCCCCGCCTGCCCCCAAGTCCATGATGTGGTGAGACATGGTCCTCACGGTCCATTCAAAGACAGGCCCTGCCTCACAAGAGGCTGTGAGGACCAAGGGCAGCGAGGTTTGGGAAACTGTAAAGAGCTGTGTGGAGGCGCAGGAGCCAGCGTGACCTTCATCATGACCATGGGTCCCCAGACCTGCTTCTTCCTCAGCCAGGGTTTCAGCTTGGCACGCTGGAAAAACCCACGCCGTGGGTCACCAGGCCTAAGGCCTATCTTCCTAATGAGAGATTCTCTCCCTAAACGATTTTTAGCCAATTGACTCTATAGATGTCATGATCAAATGTCTGTATGTAATATATAACATAATATAGTGCCGTATCATATAATAACGTAATATTGATGCCATAATCAAATGCCTGTTTATATCATTTACTTAGTTACACACGTATACTTGAACCATGATATATAAAGTGCTAATTTGGATGTACTGTTTTGTTTTATTCTCTCAAATTTCATGAAGCAAGTCTGTTCAAACATTTTGCATGCATCTTCAACCTCAGGGTCTTTGTCTTCAGTTTTTCTAAGCACAGGGGCTTCATTTTCATCTATCTTGGTTGAGACTGGCAGTTTTTAGATGCATGCGTGATTTATCAGTGAAAACTGATCCTATTCACAACTCCACAAGATACCACTTTAAAAAGAAATTGTTAGAAAGCCTCCCTCACAATCCTAGAGTGAACCCCCAGGAAAAATGACTAAATCTGTATTAGAGATTCCACCCTCTCAACTTTTTAAAAGTGAATTTTATCAGGGGACTTCTGTGAACTTCCAAAACTAGCATTGATCAAAAGCTATTTCAGGCTCATGTGTTGTTCCCAAACAAAACTTAAAATAAAATTAAAATGCGTGAGAGTGGGCGCGGTGGTTCACACCTGTAATCCTGGCACTTTGGGAGGCTGAGGCGGATGAATCACCTGAGGTCAAGAGTTCAAGATGAGCCTGGCCAATGTGGTGAAACTCCGTCTCTACAAAAATACAAAAATTAGCCAGGTGTGATGGTGGGTGCCTGTAACCACAGCTACTTGGGAGGCTGAGGCAGGAGAATTGCTTGAACTTGGGAGGCAGAGGTTGCAGTGAGCCAAGATTGCCTCATTGCACTCCAGCCGGGGCGACAAGGGTGAAGCTCTGTCTCAAATAAATAAATAAATAAATAAATAAGTAAAATAATTGAGAGAGAGCCCCATAACATGACAGTCTTTGTGAGGGCTCTAACACAAAGTAACACAAAGTGACTCAAAGTGACTCAAAATGGTTTGAGTCCTTATAGTGCTTCACAGCTCCAAGTTCAAGTCCCTGCTCTGTTCCCTTGTGGTTGGAATAACCCCAGTCAGGTTACTTAACTTCTCTGGATGCAGAGTCTTTACCTACACAAAGGGTGGCTTCTTTGTTGGGCAGTTGTGAAGGTTAAGTAAAACATCACTATGGAACAGATGTGGTAAAATGTCCTAACATGTGTGTTTACTCACTCAGAACTTCGGTTTTTGTTTTTGTTTGAGACTGGGTCTCATTCTGTTGCCCAGGCTGGAGTGTAGTGGTGCAGTCATAGCACACTGCAGCCTCAAACTCCTGGGCTCAAGCGATTCTCCCGCCTTGGCCTCCTGAGTAGCCAGCATCGCAGTTGTATGCCACCTTGTCCGGCTAATTAAAAAAAAAATGTGTATATCTATTCTTTGTAGAAATAGGGTTTCCCTACGTTGCCCAGGCTGGTCTTGGAACTCCTTGCCTCAAGTGATCGTCCCACCTTGGCCCTGCAAAGTGCTGGGACTGCAGGCATGAGCCCCTGCACCCAGTCGGAATTTAGGTGTTTATCTCTGTTTTCTGTAGGGGAGAAAAAGAGCTCCATGAAATTGTCTTAATGGTTTCATGCTTCTCTATTCAGTTAAATCCTTGATCACAAATCAAAAATATTGTTGGGGGATAAGGGACTGAAAAAAATTAGCTCAGCAGCCCAACAGCAATTAAAATTAAAACTCTTACAACCTTGATGTTCCATGACGCAGGTTGGGCCAGTGAGAAAGTTCCCAGTTGTCCTGGGGAACTCGGTGGTTTGACTTCTTGCATAGCTTAAAGCAACCAACAGAGGGTGGTAGTTCTGTGGTACCTGCAAGAGCTGTGATGGGGGCGGCAGAGGAACCGGGAGAAAGAGGAGAGCAGTGCAGATTGTAGCTTTACTAGCAGGCTTCTATTTCCGATTTCGCTGGATCGTGCCAGGCTGATTCATCCTCACAGCAGGTGGTTGTACTCTATTTTGTCCTGAAATGCATCTCTTGCTTTTACACATGCACATGAGGGTGTATATTGGGGTTTTACACACTAACTTGTTTCATTTTTCTGTGGCTCTAGATTGCATTCCTTTGCAGCCCCCCAGTACCTCTGCAGGCTTGGATAGGAGAAGAGGAACCTGGAAACGGCACAGTGAGATGAAAGAGCCAGGACCAGTCCTCATAATGAAGGTCCCAGGGCAAGAGGAGAAAAGGAGGATCATGTGCTGATTCTCTAAACACTCGAAAGCTAGATCAAGTTAAAAAACCATTACATAGAATATACTCTATTCTCCTACTCTGTCAAATATATCTTCATAAAGGCCAAAAGGGCCAGGACCTTAGAATCCTCAAGGTCCTTAAAATTCTGAACTATACTTCAGGGATAGTTGGCCTCAGCCTCTGTGCCTGCCCCCAGCCCACACTCCCCTATCCTGAATTGATCCTGCAGCCTGCAGACCTAAGCTCTGTCCAACTCCTGCAAAATGCTGTCCTTGGGCCCAGTATGCACACATTGGTGGTCTGTCCCCCAGGAGGAGACATTCGGGTTTTCGTAGGCTCTGGAATGCTCAGGGCTGTTTCTCAGGGAATTCCAGGGACCCAGAGTGTAGTTTAGGAATGGGTGAGTGGGGTCTGGGTAGTAGGGGTACAAGTTGTTGGAGGGCCCAAGCAGGACCCTGAAGTCCAGAGCCCTGGGAAGAGGCTCCTTTCGCCTGGGTCTAAGGACAGGAACTGAAAAGAGTTCGGGAAGGAGTTGGAAGCGTGGGAGGTAGTCTTGACTTTCTCACATATTGGTTGTAATCTAGGAGCAGCCATGTGCCCCCTGACATGCATCTTACTTCTCAGGGGTCCCAGAGGGTCAGGTGGCAATGGATGTGAGAGCATCTACAAGCTGGGAGAGGCATGCATATAAGTGTCTGGAATAATTATTACCGTTGCTACCCCAGGCCTCGAAACAAGAGTTTCACTGGATCAGCAAACTCTCCCCCAGCAGCAGGCTCGCAAGCCCACACCACACACTGATGTTCAAGCACTTGTTTCCTCTTAGGCAAGACATACATAGAGTTGGCTTTTTGAATATGTACCATTCCGACCCAAGGATGAATGCTGACAAGCTCTGTTTTCACAGGAAAGTGATATCACAGATGTGACAGAACTGTTTAGTGTCATCCCCCACAGAACAGCCTTGTAGAAATCGGCAGCAGTGCCCAGCTCAGTCCTGTTCCCGAGGCTTTCAAAAGGATGATGTTTAAGAACATGTGATTGTTGAATGCTCATGACTGTTTTTATGCAAAAAATGGTGTTGGTTAAGTACGTTTCAGAAGATCTTTAATGGAAGTCAATAAAAATGATGTTCACGAAGGCTGTCATAACATGGAAAAAGTTTTATACTATAATGAGTGAAAAAGGCTTGATTCAAAATGCTTGGAACCATGTTCAAACACACATACTCCCCACACGAGGAATAAAAATGCAAGGAAATAGACCAAAATATTAACAATGGTTTGTTTGTTTGTTTGAGACAGTCTTGCTCTGTGGCCCAGGCTGGAGTGCAGTGGTGCAATCTCAGTTCACTGCAACTTCTGCCTCCCGAGTTCTAGCGATTCTCCTGCCTCAGCCTCCTGAGTAGCTATTACAGGCACCTGCCATAATGCCCGGCTAATTTTGTATTTTTAGTAGAGATGGTGTTTCACCATGTTAGCCAGACTGGTCTTGAGCTCTTGACCTCAAGTGATCTGCCTGCCTTGGTCTCCCCAAATGCTGCGGTTATGGATATGAGCCACCACGCCTGGCCAACAATGGTTATTTTTGAGTGATGAGATTCTGAGGAATTTATTTTTTTCAACTTTTCCAAAATTTAACAGAATATAAGTTTTATAATGTACACTTAAAAATAAATTTGGAGGAAGTTAAAACTGCAGTATTTAAAATTTTAGTTAGCCATTCTTAATGTGTTTAAAATATTTTAAAGTTATGAAATATTTCAGAGTAAAAATATAGAAAATAATAAAACATATACCCATATATCCACTACTCAAAATTAGCAGATGTTAACATTTTTGCCATGTTTACCTCAGATGCTCTTTTTAAAGAAAATGAAATGAAATATTTCTGATACAGCTAAAGCCCTCCATCCTATTCCCATCCCTCTCTTCCCTGAAGATGGCATACATTCCTCCCATCTATGTTTTTATGCTTTTACTACATAAACACATAACATTTACAAATTTATACAAAATGTATACAATAAAAAAATCATACAAATAGTATCTATCATACTGTCTATATTCTTTTGCAACTTGCTTTCATGTACTCAATATTATCTTTAAGATTTATTTACGTAGATTTATTTCATTCCTTTTAATTGATTTATTATATAAACATGCCTCCATGTATGAATGCATTTCCAAGTTCATGGACATTTACAACTTCACACAGTGCTTGAGCATTCTTGCAAGCATATGAGCAGAGACCACATTGCAGGTGGACACTGCCAGGAAGCAGAATTGCAGCTTTGTAGAACATCCTCATCTCCAACTACTCCAGACCTGATCATGGAACAGCTGACTGCACGACAGCCTCCTTGAGCTTGGTGGCTGACCAAAAGTGCCCATTTATCAACTCAAGCCCTTATTTTTAAAAATATAAACGTTTAAAAAA